TCTATAAAGCTTTAATTGTGAAAAAGGATTTGTGGGGCTAGTCTTGGGCTCTGGCCAATCTGGTTTGTTTTGTATGTCTATCTGGTTTGTGCTGTGAGCCTCCATCATGCTTTACATTCTGGGGGCATGGCCAGTAACAGCTTGGCAAGGCTCGGTTTAGCAATCCTGCCTTAGGGGAGGACCCCTCGCTTGTTCCTTCTGCATGTGTTCCTACCCCTGGCTCTTAAAGGGCCCCACCCAGCTACTGGGTTTTCTCCTGTCTGTGTGTGTGTTGTGTGCCGTTCTGTAAAAAGAGATCTGATTAATTTGGCCTAAAGAAAAACTTGAGCTTCCCTTTTTAGAGGGAAGTTAAAAGCTGTGAAGCCGTTCAGTTTAGATAACTTTCATCTCTGAGATAAAAACAGCCCTAAAAACTTGGTAAAATGCACTTCAGATGCAGGGTTTGCTTAAGTGTTTTGAGGTTACAAACTGCTATTTGGGTTTTGAGAACTATTTGACTTGAGCTTTACAATGGTTAGGCCTGTGGACATATGGAACTAATCACACCCTTAATTAAGAAGGCAAACAGTGGCTAAACTTAGCACACAAGTAAAGCAATTTGCCAGTTTTTAAAGTTAAAAATTGCTAGGATTTAATTGAAACTATTATATTAGAAATAGATTTACATGCGAGGTGTATAAGAAAAGTAAAATGTGGGTTTTTTTTGGTTGTAAAACGTTCTAAAAAGACATGGAGGGCCAGGCACGGTGGCTCACGCCTATAATCCCAGCACTTTGGGAGGCCGAGGCGGGTGGATCACGAGGTCAAGAAATCGAGACCATCCTGGTCAACAAGGTGAAACCCCGTCTCTACTAAAAATACAAAAATTAGCTGTGCATGGTTGTGCACACCTGTAGTCCCAGCTACTCGGGAGGCTGAGGCAGGAGAATTGCCTGAACCCAGGAGGCGGAGGTTGTGGTGAGCCGAGATCGTGCCATTGCACTCCAGTCTGGGTAACGACAGCAAAATTCTGTCTCAAAAAAAAAAAAAAAAAAAAAAAAGACATGGAAATGTAAACTTTTGCCTAGGGTTAAAGGATTGTTTTGAGTTAAATTAGGGAAAAGTTGAAGGTTCAAATAAGTGGTGGAAGAATTGTGGAAATTAATCTTGCAGAAGAGGTTCTCTGTGTGAACATATTGACTAAGGGTATTATATGGTTTTTCTGTAAATTGGACATTGAAATAAAAGTATAATAAGGGTTTCCCAAGGTGCGAATCTGCTCTTAGGCAAAATTTGTAAAGGGTTATAAAAGGATTTTTGCTTCCTTAAAATTTCTGTTATTTTGGCAAAATAAGTAGTTTATGGTAATCTGGAACTGTAAGTGCTTTAAACATATTTAACAGGCTTTCCAAAATCAAACTTCAGTTTCAAAATTGTCTTCCCTGGCACCTGGCTTTTTACATACTTCAGAGGGCCCCAGAAGTGTCTAGAAACGGGAGGTAGACAGGATTATTTGACACGGTTAGGTACATTGGATTGCCAAAATGCTGTTCAATCTGCCTTAGGTTGTATCTTGGTAAATAATGCTAATATATGTTCCAAAATTATATGGGATTTCTAAAATTCTAATGTCTAAGTATATGCTATAAATTATAATTCAGGTCATTATATTAAGTTGTTGAACATATGGAGGTAACCAAAATTCTTTGTCGTTTGTGTTTCTGACTGTAACTATGCTGGACATTTTGCCATTCACAGACAGTTGTCTTGTTTTAATCATTTTCAAAAGATAGCTTATAATAAGCTGCAGGACTTTGACAGGTGCTCTTTAATACCCAGGCTTCTGATAACTTTGGATATTGTGACACTGGAATACAGGAAAATATACAGAATTCATGAAGAGCTGAAATGCTCACAAATATCAAGCAAAACAAGAGTTAACTAAATGGACTGAACTCAGGAAGCTGAATCAGCCTTTTTGCTTTTAATTGGAATATTGTTAACCCATGTTTTGTTTTTCAGAATCAAGGAAACTTATTTTGAACTATTTACAGCCTTTAATAATTAAATAAATTATACTCCTATGAACAAAGTTTGAAGCATGTTTACTTCTCTCTGCCTGATTCCTCTAGAATTTGGAAACTATTTCTGAGTGCTCTTATGGCAATATGGTCGTTTGCACCAGTGCAATAAGAACCCATTTTTTTTTTTGTAACAGGACACAATTGGAGAAAGTGATTATTTTACCAAGGCTTTGACTGGAAGGATATGCTTCCCTTTAAGGGGTTAAGCTTGACTTGCAGAGATAGTAAAGGACCCATGGGGAAACTGGCCTCATACCCTTGTTATGCAGTCCCTGTACAGGGTTCATGACCTGTGGTCAGTAAAAAATGTCACTTTCTAACAGGTACAGGAGCTCCAAGTTTATCTTGGGACGTTAAGAGGAAAGGATCACCCAACTCACAGGTGTTTGAGGATAAAAACCAAAAACCCATGGTTGGCTCAACTTTAAAAGGTCTTATCTGAGATTCCTCGTGGAACAAACTATCATCAAAGCCAGTCCAAAAGGCTTATGTAGAAGTAGTTATTCTTGCTGCATTTTATGCAAATAATCAGGCCAAGTATAAGACTGAAGTGTATTTTGTAAACCATTCAGTCCTATCATTTTTTAAAAAATAATAAACATGAGGACTGGAGAGAGAGAAATCATGTTTCAAAACTTACACATTCGTCATTAAATCCTAAACTCACTAGTTGTTTTTAAGTTTTCACCTACATTCTAGACTATCCCTGGTTGCTCCTGTGAACCAATGAGCAATCCCTGGCTGCTGCTCAGAAAGAACAAAAGAGATGGATAATGCAAAAATCGGAATCAATATCTAGTTCTGAGCAATTATCCTGCAAATCCTGCCAGGTGATGGGAATAAATAGAATTCCCAACATTTGGAGGTTCCCTTTTGGGAAAGAAAGACCAAATGAACGAATCAAAGCCAGACACCATGTACCCAAATCCTAGCAAGCATAACTATAGCTACAAGTTATCTGGGTGTGTCACTAGACAGCCTTTCCTCTCCCTTTTTGGAAGAGGCCTCAGTTCCATAGCTTCACCTTAGCACTTAGCTTGTGATAAGGAGACCATGTAACACCCTGAGATATGTTTTTGTCCTAGACTCAATTCTAAGCTTTAGGTCAAAGCCCTAGAAAGAAAACTAGATCTCAGGGATCTAGAGGCACACAGCAACAGGTTAAAAGGCACAGCGCAGGTAGTGTGGCTGATTCCTGCTTCTTCAGCCAACCCCCAGCTTCCTGTTTTGTGGATAAATGCCACATTATGCCATGGCATAAATGAGGTCTTGGTAACTCCATGGCTATTGACAGTAAGTGGGAAAGAGACATAAGTGAGAGTGGATAATTCCTGTACTCTAGCTGCCCCCTACTTCATGGATGAAGGCCACTTTGGCACTCAGGGTGGCATCTGCCAGGGTTGCCAGGACTCGGGATGCAAGGATGGAAGACAGAAATAGGATGGTTTTCCCCTCCCTTACTTACCCTGGGTATCTGCTAGGAAGAAAGTTAAACCAGGGATGCCTGCTCCCCTGTTTCTAGATGGGTAGTTATTCTCCTTTAGTCTGTACCCCTTTCAAATGCATCCTGAACCCTTGGGAAGCTTTTTAAAAACATCTTTTCCTTTTCCTTTCTTCTCCTTGGTTCTCTCTTCACTGATAAGAGATTGTGTCTCTGTACTATAGGACACTTCCCTCAGATGCATTCTTCTAACTGAAAAGAGTTAATTTCCCAAACCATAGATTGGTTGGCTTAAGATTGGGCTTAGGGTAAGGGAACCCAGAAGCCCAACATGCTAGCAAAAGGGTAAAGTTTTTTTTTTTCCTCCACGTAGGGCTTTTAGCAACCCTCTCCCTGTGCAAACTGGTAAAAGGTCTCAGAATTTTTGAGCTGTCCTTACCCCTCCCCTTGTTTTCTTTTTTGATACGTGTTTTCTAATAACCCGATTTTTCTGTTCTTGCTTTTGGGCCATCAAACTCCAAATGGTCATGCAACTGGAGCCTCCAACAGTAAGTCCGTCCTGCCAGGAGCCCTTAGCTAGGCCTCTGAAGGAGCTCTGACTGCCAATTCCTCAAAACAGTGCCCCCTGTCAGTAGGAAGCAGTCAATATCTGTCTTGGTCCTTATCCTTAATCTAATGGCAGTTACATGTACTTCTTATAGAGGGAAAATGAGAGAATCAGGTGGGAGGGGCTCCCTGGAGAAATGCCAACCAGCCTGTCCACTGAGGTAGAACCCCGGAAAGTTTGTGCCCTTTGCAGCGAGGAGGAGTCCAGCCCCTCCTCCTCTTCCTGTGAAACCTGGGATTCGAAAAGCCAGTGGGGCATGTCCTAGCGGTGGAATTCTGGCTTTGTGAGAGTCCCTGTTTCTCCCCTTTTCTTCCCTTTTCACCCAATAAAACCCTGCTTTACTTATTCTTTAAACCATCTGCGAGCTTAAATTTTTGTGGCTGTGGGCTGGACAAGAACCCTGTCGTTAGCTGAGCTAAGGGAAAGTCCTGCAACAATTGTTAGCTTCCCGAGGCCTCCCAGCCATGCTCCCTGTTAAGTCTGTGGAACTGTGAGTCAATTAAACCTCTTTTCTTCATAAATTACCCAGTCTTGGGTAGTTCTTTATAGCAGTGTGAAAACACACTAATACAAGATCGTTATAGATTCTGGATATTAAATCTTTGTAGGATACATAGTTTGCAAAGATTTTCTTCCATTCTGTAGGTTTTCTGTTTACTGTGTTGATAGTTTCTTTTGCTACCAGAAGCTCTTTAGTTTAATTAAATCCTACTTAGCAGTTTTTGTTTTTGTTGCAATTTCTTTTGAGGATTCAGTCATGAATTCTTTCCCAAGGCCAATGTACAGTTTGGTATTTCCTAGGTTTTCTTCTAGGATTCTTAGAGTTTGAGGTCTTACATTTAAGTCTTTAATTAATCTTAAGTTTATATATATGGTGAAAGGTATGGATCCAGTTTCATTCTTCTGCATATGGCTGGCCGACTATTCCAGCACCATTTATTGAATAGGGAGTCCTTTCTCCAGTTTGTTTTTGCTGACTTTGTCAAAGGTCAGGTGGCTGTAGGTATACAGATTTATTTCTGGGTTCTCTGTTCTGTTCTGTAGGTCTATGTGTCTGTTTTTTGTACCAGTACTCTGCTGATTTGGTTACTGTAGCCTTATAGTATTGTTTGAAGTTCGGTAATGTGATGCCCGTTGCTTTGTTCTTTTTGCTTAGGATTGCTTTGGCAATTTGGGCTCTTTTTTTTTGGTTCCATATGAGTTTTAGAGTAATATTTTTTTCCTCATTCTGTGAAAAATAATGTTGGTAATTTGATCGGAATTGTGTTGAATCCATAGATTACTTTGGGCAGTAGAGCCACTTTAGTGATAATTGACTTTTCCAATCTATGAACATGGTGTTCCCATTTGGGTCATCTATGATTTCTTTCAACAGTGTTGTCATTCTACTTTTTTTTATTAAGATGGGGTCTCACTCTGTCGCCCAGGCTGGAGTGCAATGGTGCAATCTCTGCTCACTGCAGCCTCCCCCTCCTGGGTTCAAATGGTTCTCCTACCTCAGCCTCCCAAATAGCTGGGACTACAGGTGTGCACCACCATGCCCGGCTAATTTTTGTATTTTTAGTAGAGACAGGGCTTCTACAAATGTTGGCCAGGCTGGTCTTGAACTCCTGACCTCGTCATATGCCCACCTCTGCTTCCCAAAGTGCTGGGGTTATAGGCGTGAGCCACCTAGCCCAGCCAACTCATTTTTCTTGTAGAGATCTTTCACTTCCTTGGTTAGATGTATTCCTAGATAATTTTTGTGTGGTTATTGTAAATGGCATTGCATTCTTGTTTTGGCTCTCAGGTTGAATGTTACTGGTATATAGAAATGCTACTAATTTTCATACATTAATTTTATATTCTGAAATGTTACTAAAGTAATTTATCAGTTCCAGGAGACTTTTGGTGATGTCTATTGGGTTTTCTAGGTATAGAATTATATAGTCTGTGAAAAGAGATAGTTTGACTTCCTCTCTTCCTCTTTCCATGCCTTTTACCTTTTTCTCTTGCATAGTTGCTTTGCCTAGGACTTCCAGCACTATGTTGAGTAGGAGTGGTAAGAGTGGGCATCCTTGGCTTCTTCCAGTTTCCAAGGGGAATGCTTCTAGCTTCTTCTTTTTCAGTATGAGGTATGCTATGAGTTTGTCATAGATGTGTCTCATTATTTTGAAATATGCTCCTTCAATTCCTAGTTTTTGAGGATTTTTAACATGAAGAGATGTGAATTTTATTGAAGGCATTTTCTGCATCTATTGAGATGATTATATGACTTTTACTTTTAATTTTCTTTGTGGCGAATCACATTGATTGATTTGCATGTGTTGAACAAACGTTGCATCCCAGGAATGAAGCCTACATGATCATAGTGGATAAGGTTTTTGATGTGCTGCTGGATTTGATTTCTAGTGTTTTGTTGAGGAGTTTTTGATCTATGTTCATCAGGGATATTGGCCTGCCAGGTTTTGGTATCATAGTGATGCTGGCTTCATAAAATGAGTTAGGGAGGAGTCCTTCCTCCTAACTTTCTTTGGAATAGTTGCAGTAGGATTGGTGCCAGCTATTCTTTGTATGTTTGGTAGAATTTGATTGTAAATCCATCTGGTCTAGGACCTTTTTTGGCTGGTAGGGTTTTTTAAATTACTGATTTGATTTTGTAACTCAATATTGGGCTGTTCAGGGTTTCAATTTCTTACTGATTTAATCTTGTGAGGTTTTGTGTTTCAAGGAATTTATTCATTTCCTCTATATTTTCTAGTTTGGGTGCAGAGAGGTGTTCATAATGTTCTCTGAGGATCTTTTATATTTCCATGGTATTGGTTGTAATGTCATCTTTGTCATTTCCGATTGTGCTTATTTGGATCCTCTCCTTTTTTTTTTCTTTTTGGTTTATTTAGCTAGTGGTCTCTCTTGTTTATTCTTTTTAAAAACTATTTTTTTTGTTTTGTTGATTATTTTATGGATTTTTGGATCTCAATTTTTTTTCAATTCTCCTCTGATTTTAGTTATTTCTTTTATTCTACTAGCTTTAGGGTTAGTGATATGGTTTGGCTCTGTGTCCCCACCCAAATGTCATGTCAAACTAATTCTCAGTGTTGGGAGAGGGACCTGGTGGGAGATGATTGGATCTTAGACGCAGATTTCCCCATAGCTGTTCTTGCGACAGTGAGTTATCGTGAGATCTGGTTGTTTAAAAGTGTCTAGCACATCCGCCTTCACTCTCTCTTGCCACCATGTGAAGTTGTGCTTGCTTCTCCTTTGCCCTTCTGCTGTGATTGTAAGTTTCCTGAGCCCTCTCGAAGCCATTTCTCCTTTATGGCCTGTGGAACTCCTTTAAGCCTCTTTTTTTTTTAAATTACGCAGTCTCAGATAGTTCTTTATAGCAGTGTGAGAACAGACTAATATGGTTAGTTCGTTATTGTTTTTCTATTTCTTCTAGATGTGATGTTAGATCCCTAGTGATATGTTTTGGCTGTGTCCCCACCCAAATTGCATCTTGAATTCCCACGTGTTGTGGGAGGCACCTGGTGGAAGATAATTAAATCATGGGGGCCTGACTTTCCCATGCTGTTCTCTTGATAGTGAATAAGTCTCACAAGATCTGATGGTTTTAAAAAGTGGAGGTTTCCGACAAGCCCTCTCTTTACCTGCCGTCATTCATGTAAGACGTGACTTGCTTCTCCTTGCCTTCTGCCATGATTGTGAGGTCTCCACACCCAAGTGGAACTGTAAGTACAATAAACCTCTTTCTTTTGTAAATTGCCCAATCTTGAGTATGTCATTAGCAGCATGAAAACAGACTAATACAGTGAGTTTGTGATCTTAGTAACTTTTTGAGGTGGGCATTCATTGCATAAAATTTCCTCATTAACTATTTTTGCTGTGTCCAAGATGGATTGCTTTTAAAAAGTATTAAATCCCCCGCATACATGGTTATCTATTTAATAAGATTAAATCTTCATCAAAGAGTTTCATAAAATAACTTAAAAAATGTTGGTTCATTATTTTTAATAACACCAGGATATAGTATAAATCTATTGATTTAGAAACTATGAATGGGGCCAAACTACTTTGTTTTAATAGCAAGCCCTCCAGGTAACTCTGATGCACAGTAAAGTTCTAGAACCACTGATATAGAATCTGAGCACACTTGCTCTGAAGCCAGATTGCCTAGGTCTGAATTCTGACTTTGACATTTATTGGAAGTAACCTCTTTAAGTCTTAGTTTCCTATCTCATAGGGTTCTTGGAGGGATTATTCCATTGCAATGAGTGATGCTGGATACTTTGTTGAAATGTTTCCATTAGTATTACATATTATTGTATGATTATAACTATTATATATGGAATCAATCCAAATTTGTCTTGGTACCTTGACAAGTATAAGTATGGCTTATACTCTAGCATGGAAAACAGAGCAAATAATTTTTTTTTCTTTTTTTAATTTTTTATTGGATTTTAGGTGTTGGGGTACATGAGCAGAACATGCAAGACAGTTGCGTAGGAACACACATGGCAGTGTGCTTTTCTTTGCTTCTCCCCTTCACCCACATTTGGCATTTCTCCCCAGGCTATCCCTCCCCACCTCCCCCTCCCACTTGCCCTCCCCTTTTCCCCCCAATAGACCCCAGTGTTCAGTTCTCCCCTTTCTGTGTCCATGTGTTCTCATTTTTCATCACCCGCCTATGAGTGAGAATATGCGGTGTTTCATTTTCTGTTCTTGTGTCAGTTTGCTGAGGATGATGTTCTCCAGATTCATCCATGTCCCTACAAACGACACAAACTCATCATTTCTGATTGCTGCATAATATTCCATGGTGTATATGTGCCACATTTTTCCAATCCAGTCTATTATCAATGGGCATTTGGGTTGATTCCAGGTCTTTGCTATTGTAAACAGTGCTGCAATGAACATTTGTGTACATGTGTCCTTATAGTAGAACGATTTATAGTCTTTTGGATATATACCCAGTAATGGGATTGCTGGGTCAAATGGAATTTCTATTTCTAAGGCCTTGAGGAATCGCCACACTGTCTTCCACAATGGTTGAACTAATTTACACTCCCACCAACAGTGTAAAAGTGTTCCTTTTTCTCCACATCCTCTCCAGCATCTGTTGTCTCCAGATTTTTTAATGTTTGCCATTCTAACTGGCGTGAGATGGTATCTCAATGTGGTTTTGATTTGCATCTCTCTGATGACCAGTGACGATGAGCATTTTTTCATATGATTGTTGGCCTCATATATGTCTTCTTTCGTAAAGTGTCTGTTCATATCCTTTGCCCACTTTTGAATGGGCTTGTTTGTTTTTTTCCTGTAAATCTGTTTGAGTTCTTTGTAAATTCTGGATATCAGCCCTTTGTCAGATGGGTAAACTGCAAAAATTTTTTCCCATTCTGTTGGTTGGCGATCCACTCTAGTGACTGTTTCTTTCGCCGTGCAGAAGCTGTGGAGTTTGATTAGGTTCTATTTGTCTATTTTGGCTTTTGTTGCCAATGCTTTTGGTGTTTTGGTCATGAAGTCCTTGCCTACTCCTATGTCCTGGATGGTTTTGCCTAGATTTCCTTCTAGGGTTTTTATTGTGCCAGGTTTTATGTTTAAGTCTTTAATCCATCTGAAGTTAATTTTGGTATAAGGTGTCAGGAAGGGGTCCAGTTTCTGCTTTCTGCACATGGCTAGCCAGTTTTTCCAACACCATTTGTTAAACAGGGAATCCTTTACCCCTTGCTTGTTTTTGTCAGGTTTATCAAAGATTGTATAGTTGTAGATATGTTGTGTTGCCTCCGGTGCCTCTGTTTTGTTCCATTGGTCTATATCTCTGTTTTGGTACCAGTACCATGCTGTTTTGATTACTGTAGCCTTGTAGTATAGTTTGAAATCCGGTAGTGTGATGCCCCCCGCTGTGTTCTTTTTGCTTAGAATTGACTTGGCTATGCGGGCTCTCTTTTGGTTCCATATGAAGTTCATGGTGGTTTTTTCCAGTTCTTTGAAGAAAGTCAATGGTAGCTTGATGGGGATAGAGTTGATTCTGTAAATTACTTTGGGCAGTATAGCCATTTTTACAATATTAATTCTTCCTAACCATGAACATGGAATGTTTCTCCATCTGTTTGTGTCCTCTCTGATTTCGTTGAGCAGTGGTTTGTAGTTCTCCTTGAAGAGGTCCCTTACGTTCCTTGTGAGTTGTATTCCATGGTATTTTATTCTTTTTGTAGCAATTGTGAATCGCAGTTCGTTCTTGATTTGGGTTTCTTTAAGTCTGTTATTGGTGTAGAGGAATGCTTGTGATTTTTGCACATTGATTTTATATCCTGAGACTTTGCTGAAGTTGCTTATCAGTTTCAGGAGTTTTTGGGCTGAGGCAGTGGGGTCTTCTAGGTATACTATCATGTCGTCTGCAAATAGAGACAATTTGGCTTCCACCTTTCCTATTTGAATACCCTTTATTTCTTTTTCTTGCCTGATTGCTCTGGCTAGAACTTCCAGAACTATATTGAATAGGAGTGGTGAAAGAGGGCATCCTTGTCTAGTGCCAGATTTCAAAGGGAATGCTTCCAGTTTTTGCCCATTCAGTATGATATTGGCTGTTGGTTTGTCATAAATAGCTTTTATTACTTTGAGATACGTTCCATCGATACCGAGTTTATTGAGGGTTTTTAGCATAAAGGGCTGTTGAATTTTGTCAAATGCCTTCTCTGCGTCAATTGAGATAATCATGTGGTTTTTGTTTTTGGTTCTGTTTATGTGGTGAATTACGTTTATAGACTTGCGTATGTTGAACCAGCCTTGCATCCCCGGGATGAATCCTACTTGATCATGGTGAATAAGTTTTTTGATTTGCTGTTGCATTCGGCTTGCCAATATTTTATTGAAGATTTTTGCATCTATGTTCATCATGGATATTGGCCTGAAGTTTTCTTTTCTTGTTGGGTCTCTGCCGGGTTTTGGTATCAGAATGATGTTGGTCTCGTAAAATGATTTGGGAAGTATTCCCTCTTTTTGGATTGTTTGGAATAGTTTTAGAAGGAATGGTACCAGCTCCTCTTTGTGTGTCTGGTAGAATTCGGCTGTGAACCCGTCTGGACCTGGGCTCTTTTTGTGTGGTAGGCTCTTAATTGCTGCCTCGACTTCTGACCTTGTTATTGGTCTATTCATAGTTTCAGCTTCCTCCTGGTTTAGGCTTGGGAGGACACAGGAGTCCAGGAATTTATCCATTTCTTCCATGTTTACTAGTTTATGTGCATAGAGTTGTTTGTAATATTCTCTGATGATGGTTTGAATTTCTGTGGAATCTGTGGTGATTTCCCCTTTATCATTTTTTATTGCATCTATTTGGTTGTTCTCTCTTTTATTTTTAATCAGTCTGGCTAGTGGTCTATTTTGTTGATCTTTTCAAAAAACCAACTCTTGGATTTATTGATTTTTTGAAGGGTTTTTCGTGTCTCAATCTCCTTCAGCTCAGCTCTGATCTTAGTTATTTCTTGTCTTCTGCTGGGTTTTGAGTTTTTTTGATCTTGCTCCTCTAGCTCTTTCAATTTTGACGATAGGGTGTCAATTTTGGATCTCTCCATTCTCCTCATACGGGAACTTACTGCTATACGGGCACTTACTGCTATATACTTTCCTCTAGAGACCGCTTTAAATGTGTCCCAGAGGTTCTGGCATGTTGTGTCTTCGTTCTCATTGGTTTCGAAGAACTTCTTTATTTCTGCCTTCATTTCGTTGTTTACCCAGTCAACATTCAAGAGCCAGTTGTTCAGTTTCCATGAAGCTGTGTGGTTCTGGGTTGGTTTCTGTATTCTGAGTTTTAACTTGATTGCACTATGGTCTGAGAGGCTGTTTGTTATGATTTCAGTTGTTTTGCATTTGTTGAGCAGTGCTTTACTTCCAATTATGTGGTCAGTTTTTGAGTAGGTGTGATGTGGTGCTGAGAAGAATGTATATTCTGTGGATTTGGGGTAGAGAGTTCTGTAAATGTCTATCAGGTTTGCTTGCTCCAGGTCTGAGTTCAAGCCCTGGATATCCTTGTTGATTTTCTGTCTGGTTGATCTGTCTAATATTGACAGTGGAGTGTTAAAGTCTCCCACTATTATTGTCTGGGAGTCTAAGTCTTTTTGTAGGTCATTAAGAACTTGCCTTATGTATCTGGGTGCTCCTGCATTGGGTCCATATATGTTTAGGATCGTTAGCTCTTCTTGTTGTATCGATCCTTTTACCATTATGTAATGGCCTTCTTTGTCTCTTTTGATCTTTGTTGCTTTAAAGTCTATTTTATCAGAGATGAGAATTGCAACTCCTGCTTTTTTTTGCTCTCCATTTGCTTGGTAAATCTTCCTCCATCCCTTTATTTTGAGCCTTTGTGTATCCTTGCATGTGAGATGGGTTTCCTGGATACAGCACACTGATGGGTTTTGGATTTTTATCCAATTTGCCAGTCTGTGTCTTTTGATTGGTGCATTTAGTCCATTTACATTTAGGGTTAATATTGTTATGTGTGAATTTGATACTGCCATTTTGATGCTAAGTGGCTGTTTTGCCTGTTAGTTGTTGTAGATTCTTCATTATGTTGATGCTCTTTAGCATTTAGTGTGATTTTGGAATGGCTGGTACTGGTTGTTCCTTTCTATGTGTAGTGCCTCTTTTAGGAGCTCTTGTAAAGCAGGCCTGGTGGTGACAAAATCTCTGAGTACTTGCTTGTTCACAAAGGATTTTATTTTTCCTTCACTTC